TGGTGGTTGTGGGGGGGGGGGGGGGGGGGGGGGGGGGGAAGCAAGAGAATTCAGTAATGGTTGATGATTGCTGAGCTGAAAATCATTTGCTTTGGAATGAGTCTAAAACATGCAGTTATTCCCGGCCTACTTGTGCCGATGGGTCTTGAATTAGTGCCCCACACACCACTGCAGTGCTTTTTTTTAAGCCTTCGACCAATAGAAAAGCTCTATTCTGAAGCAGTAAAGCAGTGTGAATGCAAATCAAGGCAACGAATGTCCTCCAAATGGACATCCAAAACCAATACATCATAAATAGTGTGCAGACAGACTGAAAATCTGTGCAATGAGGTTCAACCAAAATAAAACATCCAACGAGAGACTGAAAAGATGGAAAAAATCCTGGAACCAAGAAATCAGCAACCCAAAAAAAAAACAAAATATGAAGCTGAAAGTGTGGACGAGAGGTAGAAACTGAAAAACTGCAAAATCAAAAGCGTGTTAAAGGAGGGCGAGAGAATGAAATGAGCATTCCCAGAGTGGGTCAGGCAGTAACTGATGACCTAGGAGACACGGGCCGCACTGAACCAGAACGGCCACTCAATTCAGGATCTATGGAGATGTGGTGTGCAGTTTGGAGAACTACTTGAGAGTGGAATGAGAACAGAAAAGGGTTTGTATGGTCTCAAAGACTCACAGGAATGAAAGGCTTGGCCTCCTCAACTTTGACCATTTTCGATGCTGCTGTTGCCTGGTAAGCAGGTAATCCAAAAAACAGAGATGTCAAGACAGGCGTGAACGAGAAAAATGTAAGAAAAAGTCTGAAATATTGATGTGGACTGAGAAGTCTATGAGATGCTATTTCCCACTAATGATGTGTATGAATAGCCTTGGTTTTTATGTAAATTATTTGAGTTTAAATGACATCTAGGAATACATAAAGTGCATAAAAACAACAAAAAATCCATTAAGAGTTAAAATTAGAGGAATGATCTTGAAATTCTAAAACTTGTGGGATTTAAAATACTAATATTCATGTGATGTTTAAATATACTGTACTTGAATTGTTAGCTCAACCCAGCATGCAACCACACACGCAACTCAATGAAACATGGCATATTAGTGGAAACAAGCTGCCCATGCAGTTATTTCAAAAGCCAATGAGGGATTCAAAAAGTGTGGATACCTGTGTTGATCAAAGCTTCCTCCATCTTTACTTCCTGATCAGGAAAATAAAAGCATTTAAAATGTTAAATGTCTATTGTGATTTAAAAGAAAATAATAAACAATCACATTGCAGTTCTTCATGCATAACACCCAGCTCCGGAGGAAAGGTATTGTTAGATTAAAGACACAATGAAGGAATGATGATGTGAAAGTTGAATGAGGAAAATCCTCGGATGGTCCTGAAGAAAAAGATGGTAAGGAAGTGTAGTGTTAAGAATGGAATGAATGTTATACGATGACATTGTTAACACTGTTGCATGACTTAAGGTCACAAATAACATGATAATATGCCAACGTGCAGACTAATATGTATTAACATGCATCTGTTTTTGTAATAGTTTTATCATTACTAAGTGGCAAATCCTAATTTTATTTGTCTTTCTTTATTCTTCAACCATCTAATACACGTATGGATGTGTATGTTCACCCCAACATTTTTCAGTTGTGCCTGAGATGTCATCAAACTTCAACAAATGTTGTTCAAGACACTTTATTTTTTCCAATGATGACAAAAGTAGAAGTTTACCAGAATGTTCACGCTGCTCTTTTTCATATAATTAAAGTGAATCGTAAATAAATTCACTTTTTTTCACTTTTGGTAAACATCCAAAAACTACAAGAGGTCCATAAGATGCTATATTTCAAGTAATCTGAAATCATATTACAGCTTTGTATGAGAAAAACAAAATCAGAGAATGTTTGATTATAATATTAACAATAATGTACTGTATAATTTCAGAAGACTTAGTGCTTTTGGAGCTTTTTGCCATTCACTTTGTATGGAAGAGAGCTTTGTTTCAATGAAAGAAAGTCAGTCATACAGATCTGGAATGACATGAGTATGAGTACATGCTGAATTTATTTATGGGCAAACTATTGCTTCAATATTATGATTTTATTCCAAACCAAAACCATTGATTTTGCCTCCGAAACACAGGCGCTGACCTCATTATTGATTTAGTTGTTGAAAAGCTATGACAACTTGTATAAATATTCAATAATACAAAAAAATAAAAAATAACTGGTCTTTATGATGTCATTATAATGAGTCAGCCTCTCCTCACAGAAAATTATAAATGGTTTTCAGAACAGTGAAAATCTCAATGGTCCTGGTGACAGCAAGTTTTAAATAGTCAAAAACCCAATGTTACAGAAATCTCTTCCTTCCCAGTAATGAACAGAAAAAAATCTGCTAGAAAATGTTTTTTAAACCACAACTAAAGATTGTTTTAAAAAACACTCAGAGATGAATGTGTGTCAATATATAAGTTTATAATTTTAGATTTTCTAAATTACACAAACAGCTACAAACATAAAAGAAAGCATCTCTTTCACAGGAGCCATTCATCGAGTCTGGTATTCACTAGGAATGAAAAAAAAATATATGAGATGATGCGATTGCTAGACTGCTTGAATATTACAGTTCCCTGGTGAGGGAATAAAATGGAAAATATTAATGGAAAAACAGGAGATGGGCAGACAGTTTAGAGAGAAACCAAACTCAGTGACCAATCCGTCATCCACTATTACAGAGATCGTGCCACATGGCATCCCATATGTGGTTCACCCTATTCATGCATCAGGCTGTGTCAAAGTAAACCATGCTAGACCACGTTTTGCTAAGTATTTACTACTTTCCTCTCAACTTGGACAACAAAAACTAAGACCAACCTTTATTAGACCATGCCAATTCTTATGTGAGCATTTACAGTACATACCTGCTGAAAAAAAAATTCTAAAGCAGCCTAAGTTGGTCTTTTGGTTGGTTTCATAGGGGACAGGAGTGTTACCTGCATCTAAGCCTTTTGGCCTCGGGTTGCACTGCTTGTGGCCCTGACAGCTCCTCATTTCCATCAGCTGTAAATGCAGTTGGCTCAGGACGTCCCTCTCTACTGTATAAACTGCGTTGGTTAACTGCAAAACATAATATGCACTTATTGAGTCAGCTATTGTAATTGCTGTAATTAAGATAATAGCATGTCCTTACAGAAAGAGTCAAAGAGCCATAGTTTATTTATTTATTTTTGTATATAAATTATGGGCTTTTAAAGCTTTTATTTAAAAGTGTACTGGAGAGAAACAAGAAAGAAGTGAGGAAGAGGGATCAAAATTAAACCTGCATCCCCATAGGAGAACTACAACACTACTGCTATGCCACATCTCAGTCTCAGATCAAATTATCCAATTAAAAATACAACTGAACACATATCCTCACCTGGTATGGGTCACTGTTTAGGTCAAAGTACTCCAAAAAACCAGTGGCAAATTCACAGAAGATTGTGTTGTGAGTTTCATTTATAGTTCTCAGACACCAGTATGTGTTGTTGTTAGAGCTTGTGCAGGCACAGAAGCCACCCACTATGGAAAGAGATAAATTGTCAGCTTATTTACTTCTGCTAAATCAATGTGACTAGCAAAATCAATGAACAATTCCTTACAGTTCCAGAAGGGGGCAGTCTGCCAGTGGTCATTATTATGTGTGAAGCAGGTGAGGCCAGGAAGACTGCAGTCATCACCTTTCCTTTGCCTCTTCCTTTCCTTCCTCTCTTTCTTCCTGCGGCGGAACTCGTTGTAGAGTTGAGTCTTGCTGTCCACTTCCTGCATGACCTCTCTGGTGGCATAAATGAGACATTAGAGCCAGAGTGACAGGGAACTCCATCCCAGGTGAATTACACAATTATTGGGGGAAGCAGACCAGCCAGCTCCACACATCGATGGGGTCAGGGGTCATGAGAAAGTGGAAGGATCCCCTAAAAACCACAAGGTTCTTGTCCTATTTTCAGACCAGGGTGCTTCAGTCTCACAAAGTGACTTTGTGGTTGTAATGATGCGTTTAAACTTCAAAATGAGTTTTTACATTGATGTTTATGGGCAGAGATTGAAGTGGGATTGTATTCTTATGAAAAGAGCTCTTAATTTAATGACCCCATCAGAACTGTGACCCATGGACTGAAAATTAACTGATTAACTAATCAACAACATGTACATATGCATGCATGCAACAATACACATACAACAAGAACTGACTGAATTAAAAAATTCACAAGTCCATACATTATTTCACATTCAAAATTCTTTGAATTGAGTGGCAGCATTATAAACATTAATTGTACCACACAGTCAACAAATGGTGTTAGAGATGCTCAACATGGATTTGGACATAAATCTGGGACTTTATTTACAACAAGATACTCAACAAGATACTACAGACGACAGACAAACTGACGAGGCACGGATACACGTACACAGACACAGACACAGACACAGACACAGACACAGACACAGACACAGACACAGACACACACACGCGCACACACACACACACACACACACACACACACGAAGCACTCACACGAAGCACTCACTTAAAGGGATGGAGTTGGTCATTCCTATTCTTCAATCTTTTGGCTTTGTTTTTCTGCTCTCTCTCTTTGCTAAAGTGGCTGGTTGTAATAAGGAAAGAACAGCACTAAATTCAATGAGTCCAGCTGGAATTTCTAAAGAGGCATTGAGCAAACTGATTTGCAAAATACTGCTGTTCAGATTTAAAATGATTAATTTGTTATTTGATCAGGATTGAAACATTCAGTCTGTTATTCAGGACAATATTTAACCTACTGTTACACTATCATTCAAAATGTTGGTGTTGGTAAGATTTTAAAAAAAAAAAAAGAAAAAAAAAGAAGAAAAAAAAAAGAAAGTAGTACTCTTATGCTCACCAAGGCTATATTTATTTGAACCAAAATGCAGTAACAACAGTAAAGTGTGAAGAGTGTGAAATACTATTTAAAGTAACTGTTTTTCATTTGAATATATTTTAATATAACACACATATTTTAATATGACAAAGCTGAATTTTCAGCAGCCATTATTTCAACCTTCAGTGTCACATGATCCTTCAGAAATCATTCAATATGCTGATTTGGTGCTTAATGAACATTTCTTATTATAAGTGTTGCAAACAGTTGTGTTGCTTAATATTTTTGGGGAAACTGTGATGCATTTTATATTTGAAATAGATTTTATTTTTTAATAATAATGTAAAAGCATTTACCGTTGATCAATTTATTGCACCGATGCTTGTTAAAAGTATTAAAAAATGTACTGACCCCAAACTTTTGAATGGTAGTGTATATAGAGGAGTAAAATAAAACAAGAGAGATGAGTAGTGGAACGATGGCCAATCATGTTTCCATAGTCCGCTCAGAGTTGCCTCAAACTGATCCAGTTCACATGACTCAACAAGGAATTGCCAAACAAATATAATTGCCAACTGACCTCTTCTTTCCACAGTCACACTCATCCGGTCTCCTCCTCTTTAAATGTCCTCTAACCTCACGCAGTTTCTTCATTTTATCCTGGAGAAGTTCAATCTATGGGACAAGTGTTTAAATGAACTCCATTCATTTGGTTTAAACGGTTGTAATCTTAAAGATAATACGGGACAGTGGGCCTCACCTCTTGGTCCACAAAGTTCTTGTGGTCTTTCCATGCTCTGGAGGACTGGTAAATCTCTCTTTCACAGCGCACAGTGTCATTCCTTAATATGAAACATCTGTGATTCCAAGGTAAAATGATCAACAAATGAGTAAAACACACTTTAAACAGCCTAAACTACAATAATACAGTTTATGTTAAGAGGTGACCAAAGGCTTGGAGCTCTTACTTATGGGTGACTTTAAGAGTATTGGGGTATCCCACAGCATTAGTGTCATCCGACTGCATCTCCTCCGATCCGTCATCGGACTCCAACCCAAAGTCCGAATCAAAACCTCCCTCAGGCTCATGGTGCCGTTTGCTGATTGGTCGAGGCTCAAGGGGGGTTTTGTCATCAGCCTGCAGGTCCACATCATAGATTTCACCCTCAAACTCCACTGACAGGGATCTGGCTGGCCGCGTGTGAACAAAGCGATGTCTGTAGCCTGAAGGAAGACATCAGCGTCAATTACACATACTTAAATATTTATATGTCAGAGTTAAATATTTATATACATATTGCTGGAGCTCATTACATTTCCTCTAATATATTTTAAAAATGTCACTTCACCAATACTTCACCAACTGGTGCTCAACACCAATAGATGGCACCAAAAAAATATGACTCACATTTCTCTCACAATCATGGGAGCATTGAAGTACAATTAACTAAAGTAATTAAATTCCATTTCAGCAGTATAACAACTAGATTCATAGCAATAGTTTTGTGCGTAATAGTAAAATGTGATAAATTATAAATTTTTATTGTGCATGGTACTGCATACACAGCTTTACTCCCGAAAGTATGATTCATTTCAATTAATCTGATAATTTGGACAGTTTGTGATTTACCCCAAAAATAAATATTTTTTAAATTAAAATATTTAGTTAAATGATGCTGGTCAACACCATGCTTTTGACTTAGATATATTAATAATAGTGCATGTCTAGTTTTATTTTGCATTTATTTAGCATAAAGTTAAATTCTGTCAGCTTAACTGAGCTCCTTATTATTGAGAAAATATTAATTAAACTATCATTTAAAAGTTTTTTCCCCCTCTCTATTTAAACATTGTTTCGAAGTGACAGTAAAGAGTTTTGCATTGAAAAAATTAAATAAATGAAAATAAATAAATTTTAAAAATTGCTGCTCGTGAATTTTCCATTCAAAGAATCATGAACAAATGAAAATAATGCATGTAGTAATAATGCAATACTATTAATAATGCAATAATAACATGCAACAGCATAATACAGTTTCTACTAAATAAATAATTAAATATTAAGCAGCACAACTGTTTTCAACACTGACAATAAGAAATGTTTCTTTAGCACCAAATCAGCAAAGTATAATGATTTCTGAAGGATCATGTGACACTGAAGATTGGAGTAATGGCTGCTGAAATTACAGAAATAAATTACATTTTAAATGATAATAAAACAGAACAAAATAACATTCACAATATTACTGTTTTTACTGTATTTTTAGGTCAAATTTAAATCAAAGCATTTAAAACATTTAACTCCAAATTAAAAAAGCCCAAATACCTTGGTAAATAGCTTTGTATGTTTTAGGGTAGCTAACTAGTTTAACTAAATTCTGGGAAGTCTGTAGCTTTGGAAGATACAGTTTCAATGTTCTGTCCTTTAGTAGTGAAAAGTTCAATTCTTCCCAGTGACTCAAACCTTTGAAACTCTTCACTCTATTGATTTGCTAATTGACCATTCCTGTAGGCTGCATCATTGAACCAGTAGATGGCGACAAGTGAGTGACTTTCAGTCCTAGTCTAAAAAGTCCAGTGTTTGTCTATACAGTCTTGAACAGCCAGCAATCCGTCCTCCTCATTTGAGTGCATATACTTACGTGGATTACTGCTCTGGGCAAACTGTCTCTGCGCCCGCCGTGCTGCCTTGGCCGATTTGTAAGGCCGGTCTCCACAGTGGCAGTCTTTCTTGCGGCTGTCATAGCTTCGAGAGCGCAGACTCCTCGCCCGCTTCTTGGATCCTTCCTTCAGAGAGCCCTTACACTTCTGCAAACGCCACTTCCCACTGACCTCCTCCACACAGTGCCATTTCTGTAACAAAAAGGGAAGGAATTCAGTTTGTGGGCAGACATTTTTGTCTGCCTAACCACTTATTGTGCAAACACCGCCTCATTTGCATAACCACAGCTGTTTTTATTAATGAAATTAATCTTCTGACTGTGAACGGCGAACTTAGTGGTCAAACATCTGCATCTGAGTAATCCCATTAATTCACAATCACACGGCACAAGAGCCACCTCGCAATTTTTCCCATAAAAAAAGCAATCAGAAGCCAATTTAGACTTAATCTCCTAATTTCACAGAGCTGTTTGCTTTGCAAGCTGACCACAGCTCAGACATGTGCTATGGGAAACCATATCCAAACAATGGCCACAACCCTGTTCTGATTTCCTGAGAAGCTGGAGTCCCATCACTGAGTTTATGTATCTGCGGGTGATGCAGTACCTGTTCGCAGCAAGGATGTTTGTGTGAAGGGCGGTAAACCAAAAAGTTAGCCAAAGCTTGCTTGAGCAGTTTCACTCATTTAGTTCCTCCAGACATAGTAGGCAAACACACTAAAACATGTTAAGTATTTCTTGTACCTCACATCCACACACGCACGCACAGACTGGCTCCATATATCCAGAAGTCAAACAGACATAAGAAAACAGCGCCACAGCCAACTATGTGAACCCTCACTACTTGAATGATGGCCTCAGATTCAGGAAGAAACAGACAAACTTTCACACAGCCTCAATCGAACACACTGCCCTCATTGACCCCACTGCAGGCAGTAGGACTGTGTTAATGCCGTCTTTGCGAGGTTTTTTCAACACATTCCTACTAGTCAAAGAAAAAGAAAGAGTATATTGGAAAAACAGATACTGATACTCTACTCAAGCTAAGACTTGAGCTGGAAGCAGTAGACCATAACTACAAGTTTTGTCTATTAAACCATGACAGTCTTCCAAAAGAGTGGATTTCACAGGAAAACAATGGCAGGAGCAAATGCTGCCGTACTTATTAAAACATCCAAACATCGGGTCAGTAAGATTTAAAAAAATATATATTTTTGAGTCTCTGATGCTCACCAAGGCCGCATTTATTAATAGAATTAAAGGGAAATACTATTATAATTTAAAATAACTGTTTGCTTTGTAATTTAATATATTTAAAAATGTTATTTATTCCTGTGATGGAAAAACATAATTTTCAGCAGCCATTACCCCAGTCAGCAACATATAAGATTCAGAAAATAATTCTATATATAATCATTCTATACACAACTTTTTGTCCTCTGCTATGCAAAATCCATCATGCGTTTGGAGCACATTTAACTTACTGCTGCATTTAAACTATAAGACAAGGGTCTTTTATTAAGAAAGCAAATGGCATCAACTCTGATTTCATGTTGACTAATAAAGACTTGGTCTAGTCATACAAAATTTGTTTGGATCTTTCTCCAAAACTTCTCCAGCTTTGTTCTGGCAGGTGACTGGGTCACTGGACTAAAGAAGACTGAAACCCATGTGTTATTCCAACAACTTTTCTGCATTCAATCAAATTTCCAGACAAAGTGTTGCAGGCAAACACTTAACTTGACCATAAAAAGAATCTGGTTTGCATTACTGCAGTCCTTGAAATACTGTCTGCATTTACAGTACCTGAAATTGTACCGATTTGTAATGCTCAGCCCTCTTTGATTCATTGCCACGCCACAGAGGGTCTGGTGGAGCAGGCACACACTGTGCTGATGAAAGAAAACTATGACCAAACTCCAATTATCCTTAATTTGTTGTAAATATCGGTTTCAATTACAGTGGCACCACTCACAAGACTTTGACTGTGAGCCACACACGCCAATCTCAGGTTTCGTGTTGAAGGTGCAAATGAACGTGTTCAATCATCATTTAAGGTTGGGGCAAAAAGCATTTTTTAGAGCTTAAACACCCTGGTTCAAGCCCCTAGTAAGGTAAACAAGGGCCAGATTGAGACTACTTGAATGTTTGAGAGCAAATATTGCGCATGTGTGTGCAAATTCATAAGGGAAATAATATATATAGACAGTAGGTGACAAAAAGAGTAATGCATGTGTTTATTTGAGTTTGTACCTGTCCTGGTTGTTCGCAGGGCGTCTTATACTCTGCCTGCTGACACACCTCCTTCACCTTCTTGTACTTGGGTAAGCTGTTGGAGTGTTGTGTGTTCAAACTGCCTCCTGAGTCATCTTTCTTGCGCAGGATTTTGCTGGAATAACAAATGTGCTTTGGTGAGTTGCTAGGCCACGTTTTACAGTTGGCAGCCTTACTGAAGTTTCGGAAGCCTGGAAAGCATAGCCGTCCCACCCAGGTCAGCATCTCATAACTAATATGTGGAGAGCATTAAAGCTTTCACAGCACACAAACAACATTGTGGCCCAGATTCCCCATGATATATCTTTCCTCTGGATCTAGCTCTAGTTCTATTAGATTAAAAAAAAATTACATTTGTTAAAAGAAAAGTTCACTCAAAAATGAAAATTTGCTCAATTTACTCACTCTCAGACCATCCAAGATGTAGTTTGAGTAACACTTTAGTTTAGGGACTGATACTCACCATTAACTTGTTGCTTATTAGAATGCATATTTCTAGCATATTGGCTGTTTATAAGAATGTATAAAGCACATAATGCTTTATTTTGCATGACCATATTTTAGATCCCTTAATCCGACTGCATGCCTAAACTTAACCATCTTACTATTTGAGGAAAAAAATTGTAAATAGTTAGTTAATAGTGAGAATTGGTCACCAAACTAAAGTGTGACTGTTTTGTTTCTTCATCAGAACAGATTTGAATATAATTAGCATTACATCACTTGCTTACCAATGGATCCTCTGTAGTGAATTCATCAGAATGAGAAACAGCTGATAATTTACATGTACACAGCAAAATAATTTACATGTTATCCACATGACTCCAGTCCATCAATTAACACCTTGAAGTGAAAAGCTGTATACATCGTTTTTTAAATTTTTTAAATCCATCATTAAGGCGTTTTAACTGTTCCTTCTGGCCAAAATACCAATCCATAATCCATTATGATGCTTCCTCCAGTGAAAAAGTTCATTTCCTGTTGTTCTTTCACATTAAAATCCACAGACACATTTATTTAGAACTGTTTTGGACTGCTTTTGCTTGTAAACAGCACTTGATCTGTGCATATTTCTCTCCTGATTCAGATGAGAAGACTTTTTCATTGGAAAAAAGTAATATTATGGACAGAGGATTCGTATTTTAGATAGATGCGATGGTTTGAAGTTAAAAACGTCTTAATAATGGATTTATTGCAGACATGAAGCTTGTGGATTATTGTGATGTTTTTATCAGCTGTTTGGACTCTCATTCTGACGGCACCCATTCACTGTAGAGGATCCATTGGTGAGCAGGTAAAGTAATGCTACATTTTTCCAATTCTGTTCCAATAACGAAACAAACTCATCTACATCTTGAATGGCCTGAGGGTAAGAATATTTACACAAATTTACATTTTTGAGTGAATTATTCCTTTAAGCCCAACCAATCCATAAAAACAAATCATAAAAGGTAGAATTAGGATTCTGTAGGCTGAGAGGACCCAAAAAGCTGGTGAGTCTGGTTGCCTAGGCAAGAAATGAATGCAGTCCATCAAAAAGCCTGAATTAAAGTATTTTATGAAACTCAATAATACTTAACTGTTCATGCATATTTTTACACTTAAAAATGAGCTTTGCCATCATCTAACACATTTAAAACGTGGGTTCCCTTTCATGGGAACTTCGAACTGCGTCCTCTAGGGGTCGCTATGGGGAACGCCTCGTCGTGACCCGTGTCTGAAGCATACATTGAAAAAACACCAACTCGTTGGCCGGCGACAGCCATGACGTCACTACCGGTGCGACTCCAGTATAAATCGGCGCCGGGAGCTACACATCATTCTCTTCTTCGTCTTCATTGACTGTTCTACTCCATTACGAATCATTCCGGCCCAAATTAACCTCCGCCTGTAAGGGAAATTAAGTGTTTTGCATGATTTAACCACAGCTGATTAATGAAGTAGTCGCTAATCTGACTTCTCACAAAATGAGAGCTGTCGTAACCGTGCAAAACAGGCTGAATTAACGGCATTTTGGTATAAACATGCTTCGAGTCCGTGGTCTGGCTTTATACACAACAGTTACTGAGTCACGGAAGCAACAGCGATGTGCTTTATGATTACGCCATTCTTAAAAAAACCTTCTTTCACTTAGCCTTAAGCAGAAACAAAGCACGGGCAGACTGTGGGAGTGGTAATATGCCATTACACAGACTGACAGCTCCCTGTGAGTGACACGAGGAATGTTAGACTGAGACAGCAGTGTGGTTGTGCCCACGGCCACAGATACAATATATAGAGATTGTGTGCAATGGCCGCACAAAGGCAGCGCAAGTTAAATAGGGTAACCTCAATACCATACCCACATTCCTCACATCAGTCACAGAAATCAAGGGAAATGCTACGCACACGTATCAAATTTGAGTCTGATACCACAGGTAATATCATATATTTCCCATGGGGAAGGATTTTTTTCTGTCGTGAGTATCCTAGGTTACTGAAACATATCCGATAATGAGAGTCTAAAGCTGTCATCTGAATAGCTGGACTCCTGAGAACATATTTGATCGAAGAATGTCTGATCTTACCGTGAGGCTGTAGTAATTGTTAATGGTAATTTGGACAAATAAGAATATTTTTGTGATATTTTCCCACATTTTGACCAAGAGTCGTCAAGGAAGAAGGATGTTTGTGCAATGGAATCCTAAAATCATAACATGTACTTCTGATCTTATCTTTCGGCGATTTTACAGTGAAATTCTGGAATGGTTTGAATTGCATGCGGTGAGCCCCCCGTACAAAAAAAATCAATTCAAATTGATTTCGCACATTCATTCTGCAGTGATTTTTATAGTATGATTGAGAAGAGAGGGGAGAACGTTTGCCTTACCCCCGCTCCACGAGGAATGTGTCCCTCCAGACTTTGGGTTTCCGGTTGGGTTTGAATCTGCAATACGAAAACACAAATATTTTATTTCTCTCTCAGTCTTTGTGTCATTTGCATACCATAAGCAGATGTTTAGATTGGCCTGAATTTTGACATCTTAATCTGCTCAATATCTCCTGCCATCATGAGTTGCAGCGACCCCAGAGCATTTCCAGCATTCTTTACCTGCCAGAAACCACTTATAAATGTACTCCAAATGTTCACAAACTGTTAAACTCAATTGAATTGAATTAAAAGCAATAAACAGATACTATGCAACCATTTATTACACTGGGAATGTGTTCATGGAGAGGACTTAGCTCACCTATTGCCAGTCTTTTCCTGCTCCAGAAGCTTCAGGATAGATTTGCCATCCATATTATGTGGAGTGTCCAGGCCAGCTATGTCCAGGATTGTGGGTGCGAGATCAATGTTTAGCACAAGATAGTTGTTTCTGCGGAGTAACACAAAAGATGTAATGTTATGTTATATGTTTTATGTTATGTTATATGTTGTGTTACATGTTTTATGTTATGCTATGCTATGCTATGCTATATGTTATGTTATATGTTGTGTTATGCGTTGTGTTGTGTGTATTGTGAAAGAAACTGTGTATATGAAATGTGTATTATACGACATTATTGCTAATAACCTTTTATATATATATTGCGCACTCACATACAGTAAATTTATATATTTTAACATACATAAATATATAAAATATAAATATATACATGAATAAATAATTTTATATAAATATATTTTCAAAAGTGTGAAAACACATAAATTTAAATTTATTTTTAAATAGAGTACTTAATTTTTAATAAATAATTAAATATATAAAACAAATATATAAATGTATATATTTTAAATTGCAAAATGTGCAAAATGTGCATTATACTATAATATAATGCTAATAAATAAAATTTGAATTAGAAATATATAATTTATAATATATAATATTATAGTTGTAAATTGTAAATAATTTAAAATATTTTTATTTATTATTTCTTTCTATTTCTTTTCATTTATTTTTTAAACAATTAGTGTCAATTAAATGTAAATATAAAAATATACAGATAAAGTGTGGAAAGAAATTATATTGTACAAAATGTGTATTTCAAATAGAAGCTGATTTTACCTCGCCCCTGGTTCCACATTAGGACCTCTGACAAAAAATGGTACTCTGATGTCAAAATCATAGGGCATAGACTTCCCCTTGACCAGGCCAAACTGGCCAATGTGGTAACCATGATCAGCTGTGTAAATGATATAAGTATTATCCAGCTCCCCGGTGTCGACCAGGACATTATAAATCTGTAAAGTAAACACACATTATCTTTCCATTCATATACAAAATCTGTTAAATACCCCAAATTTGGAGCAAGAACACATAAACCACTGACCTTTTCCACAGAGTCATCTACAGACATCAGCGTCTGGAGCCTCCTCCTGTGCAGGTAGTTGGTGAACTCCATGTGAATCGGCTTCATCGGGCCAGTGTACTGCATGATCCAGTGCTTATCCATGTTTGGTGCGTAGTTATAGCTGGGAGTTCTGAGTGAATAAGCACAACATGCTACTGTGAGGAAAACATGCACCTGTCTGCCATTTCACAACCACTTGTGGTTGTTGGAGTTGCCTGTTGTATAACATACTTGACAAGCATCAATAACAGAGCAGTCACCCCTCCCCCTCCACGGAAATGTACTAATTCTCCTCGCTAGGTGTTTTTCTTGGGCTCGCTCTCCATCTCTCCTCACACCATGCTGAGAGTCTCAGGGTTTCTTGGCAGCATTTAATCATATGAGGGTTGGCACATGCATAATAAAAATAATAGCTTCCCCAGCCTTCGGGCCCAAAATAAAGTTTGTAATAAGTCCAGCAACGACAGGGCTATAACCCATTTGCATTTGAAGTGGAGAATAAAACGCTGGGTAAACAGGAGGCTGCGGACTTGTTTGTGGAGCTACGGCTACGAGATGGCCACCTGTTGACTGCAGTTGGCCTCTCTCCACGGCTGAAGACATGGCCATCCTTTGCTTTCCAGACCAGACTCTTGTGCCTAGTGTCATAATGAATGATGGCCACAGGAAAGCTCCATTCTGTCTGAGTGGACGGCTTCTGCCCTCTCCTCCTCAGTGCGCCTTTGTCTGCTCACTGAACTCTTCAGCCAGCTAGTGAGGCAAACTAATACACCACTCTTCGCATAGGTAGAGCAAATTTAGAATTTGGAGTTCAAAGGATGGAATTAGTCCAGATTCGACACCTGTCACAAAGCAGGGTAGAGAATGCTTGTCTTTGAGATGAAATACCCGTGTAGTTTCTGCTTTGGGGGGGGGGCCAGGGCCACCTAGTATGATTTTTTTATTATGCAAATTAAGAATAAAGACAGATGAAGTACAGTCTATAAAAAAATAAAAAAATAAATATAAAGTAAAATATAAATAATTAAATTATTTATTAATTTATGTACATTTTACTACTTTGGTAAAATATAAAATACAGACAATGTAGTGTCTATAAAAATAAATAAAAATAAAATAAATGTATAAATGTATAAATCATTTCTTAATTTATGTATTTTACTTCAATAAAATATAATTAAGTAAAATAAAGTAAAATATAAAAGTAAACAGATATTTATTAATAAAGAAATGTATTTATATATTATAAATTTAGTAAAATAAATAAACATGTAAAATATAAATAAAAGCAAATAAAAATTAAATAAAAGTATAAATGAAGGAAGGAAGAAAGAAAAAGAAAGAAAAGAAAGAAAGAAAGAAAAATTTCTTGAAGCCTTATTTTTTAAAAATATTTTTACCTTTCTATTTTTGGTTGAGCACCTTATTTTGGTATTTTGGATGAGTGTGCTTTTGTTCTTTTTTTACGCCGATGATAAATAAACCCCAAAAAGTTTCTGAAACCCTGCTGCATCATTCCAGAATGCAACCTGCGCCTGCCATCTGTTTCCCTGTTCATTTGGCACAACTTTCCAGGCAACCCTTTCGGCACCAGAGCGACTTGCCAGCCGATGTGAACCTTGGGGTATCCAAGCGTGATCTATTCAGAGCCCATGCACTTTAAAAGATATCAATAACACAAAAGGGTCTTCTAAGACAATGCATTCCCCAAACCTACATAGTGAAAGGCATGATTGATATGAGAAGTGCCAGAATTTTGTGTAGAAAGACAAGCAGAAAGAAATGGATAGGCTCGAGGGACAAAAGTGTGATTTCACCCTGACCAGGATCCTGACATGCCTGGGATGTTAAGGACTTGGAGATGGATGGCCTGTTGCCACAGCACAGTTTGTGGAATAGGAACCTAGCCACAAAACTGATGATAGTGCAGTGAACCAATCAAGGTCTTGGCACCCAGAGTGAGGATCATAAAAATCTCATCCCCATCATCTTACTTGGCATGTGCCAGAGCTTTACTTGGATGATAAATGACTTTTGTTTCATGGTGGTGGTGTCATGTGTGAAGTGCATTTCAGTGCACTGTCATCTCTTAAGAGTCTAATTTTAATGACATTTTCAAATATATGAGGCCACAAAAATTCCTAAAGCTACAAACTTATATTTACCTGCAAGCCAAATTATAATGGTTTAAAATTTATAGGAAAGTGATCTGCTTGGAATGCTACTGTTCTACTAAAAATGTGTCCTTTGGAATATGCTATTATAAATACATACAGAACAATAAAAATATCTAGACTCAACAATTCAAACACCAGTGTATATTCCAGCAGGGCTTGGCTCTCAGACAGGATAGACTGGGTTCAGTAGAGTTCAGTGTTGTCGCTCTTGCAGAGTGTAACTGAATGTTCTGAGAGTCACTCACATGTGCTGGGAAGCGTTTGGGAAGAGCTCGGAGTACTGCGGTGCTGAATCCTCCGGGCCATGAGGCGCTGCATGACTGATCACCATCATCACCGGCCGATGCGGGTACATGCGCTTGGACATTCGGAAGTAGTTGATGCTGTCGTTGGTAATCAAATCAGTGAAGTAGTCCTGGAACAGGCAGAATAAAAAAAAAAATCATGTATACATAAAGTGAATGATCTCCACATGGATATGCTTCTTTCACAGCTTGAACAAATAAAGCAAGGGTCAATAAAAATATGTTTTTTTCTATTTATTTCTATTATTGAATATTATTGAAACAAATTATTTTATATTAATTTGAAATTTAATTTGAAGTATCTGAATGATTTATAATCATTTTTAATTAGAATCAATCATTTATAAACATTTAAATGCAATTCAAACACACTGATTCTTCGATAAGTATTCTTTTAATTTCTAAATGAAATTTCATTTTGATATTTTTAGGTGGCATAAAATCAGGCCAAGAAAAAACAACTGTCCTGAAGTTATAAATGGGAAAAAACCTCATACAAACAACCAAACAAACAAAATCCCTCAAGTAGTTTGACTTGATCTTATTACTTCTTAGAAATATTTTTTTAACAAAATGACCTCACTGTTTATTTTATATATATATATATATATATATATATATATATATATATATGGTGAACACGTTGTTCCCAAATCAAAGCTCTCCTCGAGAATAAAAAAGTGGGCATGATTATCTTTTTATATATATATATATATATATATATATATATATACACACACTGAACAAAATTATAAACGCAACACTTTTGTTTTTGCCCCCATTTTTCATGAGCTGAACTCAAAGAATTGAATGTTCATTTCTCTAGCATAAGCCGTCTCCAAAGGTGTTTCAGAGAATAAGGCAGTACATCCAACCGGCCTCACAACCGCAGACCACGTGTAACCACACCAGCCCAGGACCTCCACATCCAGCATCTTCACCTCCAAGATCGTCTGAGACCAGTCACCCGGACAGCTGCTGCAACAATCGTCTTGCATAACCAAAGAATTTCTGCACAAACTGTCAGAAACCGAAGAGGACTCCAGTGGCAACCTGTGAAGCTCTGGTGAACTCCATGCCCAAGGGGGTTAAGGCAGTGCTGGAAAATAATGGCGGGCGCACAAAATATTGACACTTTGGGCCCAATTTGGACATTTTCATTTAGGGGTGTACTCACTTTTGTGGCCAGCGGTTTAGACATTAATGGCAGTGTGCGGAGTTATTTTGAGGGGACAGCAAATTTACACTGTTATACAAGCTGTACACTCACTACTTTACATTATAGCAAAGTGTAATTTCTTCAGTGTTGTCACATGAAAAGATCTAATAAAATATTTACAAAAATGTGATAAACTTTAGTAAGCCGAATCAAATTGCCTTGAAAACCCTCAAAATTGTGTGTCATGGTCAGTCTTTTAAAATATCTGATTGTGTGACTTTTCTTTTCTTTTTTAGTGCAGTTCCCTAAAAATCTTTCATGAATTCATATTTGTAAAAAAAAAAACACAGACACACACATTTTTTTTATTATGTGTACGATGTTTACATTTGTGTTAAGAATAAGGAAAAATAACTTTTTACTTTGTCACATTATTTAAACTTCTGTTGAAATTAATTTTTTTTTTTTTAACTATATGAAACTGACATTACCTACAACAACAGAGCTAATGCCATGACGCTAACAACTCAGTAATGAGCACGACAAGGGCGTTGACGGCTTCACTCAATGTTAATAGAGGGTCTTAGCCCTCCATGAGTCTGGTGTTATGACAACACTGAGGTCTCAATCTTACTGCTATGTGGCAGCAGCAGGAATGTGCACAAGGGCTTGGGGGTAAAAATCACGTGATGCTGAAGCTGTAAGCCCTTTGATGGCAGTGCTCCTGGTCTGGGCTGGTTGTGGGAAAGTCTCCACCCCCCTTCCCCCTCTACCCTCCCAATTGCTAAAACATTGCTACCACTGGAATCTGTGGGAGTGAAAGTCTTATGGAAGTTATTGTTTAGAGACGCGCTCAGTGGACCTTGTTCCTCAGCATTACAGCAAAACATATCCATGTCATGCCAGGGTCATGTTGTACAACTAACTGAACCAGCATGTTTGTTTATATTGGAAAACTATACAGTATCATCTTGAATGTTTCAGTGAAACAGAATCTGAATGTGCAACAAATTCTTATTGTAAGAGCTCTTATTGTCTAAATAATTCTTATTGATTAAACAGGACTAAAAGGCTACAGCCAATCTAAAGTTGAAACTATTAGTCATTTGTAAATGTTTATAAATGATTACTAATAATTTAGTATCTTTATTGGCATTGGACGTTTAGCTAATGGAACAAGGTTTGTGTAAAGGGTGGCTGGTTAAGTTTAGCTAAATGCTTGCTAAAGACATATCAGATTGTAATTTTGGTGCAAAAAATATTTTTATTGCCTCAACACTCACATTAGTATACTACTCTTCAGTGTATCATTAAACAGGATATTCCTTGAATCATAAATAAGCAGGAGAAAACATTTTTTAAAAAGAAAATACTTGTTCATTTTTCAAAACAATATAATATAAACAGATTGAACCGTGTTCTTATAATTATCAAATTGACCCCGTACACCGTCGACCCTTTAACCAACCCTTAAACCTACATATGCCACCAAACCTGTCCCTAACCTTACCCGTAATCACACCTCAGTAGGAGCTAAAGTTTTGTGCATTAAAACAAGCTTTAAATCATTTTATAACATCTGTTAAAATCATTTGAAGATTTTCAATAAGTGCTTGATCATATGGAATTGAAAGTTTAATGACATTTGTAAGCATTTTACCTTACATGAAATAATGATTTGTTTATCTAATGTTTAATAAGTTTATTAGCAAACATTAACTAGCACATTACCTAACGCTTGAATATATATTAACTAATGATCCATTAAGCATTATATAATGTTTGTTAATGATTTATTAATGAAAGTTATTATACAGTTTACCAACATTTCTGCAAACCTCATGGAGAAACCTTCAGCCTCTTGTGCCTCTCCACTTGTGGGTAATTTAACACCTTCATTCAATTCAACAAGCAGGTAATTGACATCCGATTAACAGTCCAAACATTTATTTGCTCATCCCTTAGACTGCCTCCAAGCCAATTTATGCCCAAACCATGAAACCTCACTACAAATTCCACATTCCCCAAAAACATGCTACCTTTGAGAGACTCCAAAAGCTTGTTTTGACAGCAGCTCCCAAACACTCTAGAGCTGGAAGGTGGCCATGTCAAATTAACGATTTAAACTTTGATTTTATCACTTTGCTCATATTGAAGGTCTTGCACAAGGATGGCAAAAGTCACTATCACTTCACATCTAGCCATACAGCGTACTGTAAACCATGGCTATGATATAGTATCAAATAGTAATAGTATAGCATTGTATACTGCACTGCATACTGCTTGTTAAATTTGCATACCTTATTAAATTTTGTTCTAAAATGTTGACTTAATTAAAAATGTGCACAGATTACATATTTACTGCAAAATAGTAAGAGAAGTATGCCAATCTGAACATAGTCCAAATATCCAACCTGTCAAATCAGCAGAACTCTAGTTGTTTCCAAAAGGAACTTTGTCCCAAAGACATTGTCTCTTTTTCTACCAAGTTTTATTCAGTGTAACCACCTGATGACACAGAAGACACAGATGTAACTCCCCATGCCCCCTTTAATCTAACCACATTCCATGTGGAGTCAACCGACCCAAATTTTATATGTAATTAGAGGCCTGAAATTAGTTGCGAACAGACCATACAATTGAACATAAACTGAAAATTGAGTTTAAAAGAAATCTTTGGCATGGTGTCAGGGCTGTGAACTTATGTGACCAGGCGCACATACCTTGGCATAATCCGCGCCGTGCTTCTCCTTGTTCCCGTTCCGACAGACGGTGTAATTATAGAAACGGGAATTTTTGATCAGCCCCACCCATTCGCGCCACCCAGGTGGGATGTAGCTGCCGTTGTACTCATTGAGGTACTTCCCAAAGAAAGCTATGGGACGAAATAAAGAAAAACAAACTTGAATCTATGTTCAGTGAGGTCGACACAAAGTCTAAAATGATCATTTATGACAAGCGTCTCAAAACACTGCTTTTGACCAGCACCTGTAAATGTCTGTCTCTGCATTGTATACATGTCTCCTCTACCCTTTCCACTCTAAGCTAAGCCAAAACATCTTCCAAAAGAGCTGGGCAAGCAGCCAGTCTGCCTTGGAGAGTTAATTGTAGACTAACACATCAGCTGGAAACCACAAGCAGTGGTGAGGCCTGAACCCCTGTATTCAGGGTCAGAACGTGCTGCCACTCAATTCACACAGCACAAGGCTACTGGCACGTTTAGCTCCATGCTTAACTTCCACAAACTAGACAAATTTAAAATTCCTGTAAAACTTTTATTTGACCTCTAGGAACAAATGTGAAAGCACCATTTTAGTGAAATTGAAGAACACTGTCAGACAAATACATTTCCAACTGACTTTTAAGGGTAAAGTGGGGAAACTGTTGTATCACTAATTATATCATTTTAGTGATACAAATATATTATGTAAATAATAATAATAACTATTATTCCCTCATGAAGACCTTAAGGTTAAAACATTTGCGGTCAAAACATTAATTCAATAAAATCTGTGCATATACAGAGAATGTGTAGATATTTATTGTTTTTAATTTATATACACACAATATTTTGGTAACACTTTATTTCGATAGTCCACTTTAGACATTCTATTAACAATTATTTGCAACTACATGCCAACTAGCAGTTAGTAGAGTATTAGTAGACTGTCTGCTTAATATCTTCTAACACTTTCTTTGTCAACATTCTTCTAAACCTAAACCTACCCTAACAGTCTACTCTGAGAGTTAGTAGACATGTAGTTGCAAATTAATGAGAATTAGTTGACATGTAGTTACAAAGTTACTTATAGTTAATAGAATGTCTAAAGTGGACTATCGAAATAAAGTGTAACCAATATTTTTTCCTGCAAAACTGCAGTAGTATAAAACTAAAATGGTCTGTTATTTTTAATATTAACATTTAAATTGATGAATTAATATTGCACAAAAAAGTCAATGCACACAAAAATATTTCTTTTATTCAGCAAGGAAAAATTAATTTAATCAAAATTGACAGATATTTCCTATCGTAACAAAAACTGTAATACTGTATATATATATAACAATTTTACTGTTTTTCCTGTGTTTTTAATAAAATAAAATGCAGCTATGGTGAGTGTAAGAGGCTTCTCAAAAAACATTTTAAAAAACCACACCGACCCCAACTCTGGTTCAGATCAAGCAGGTCAGAATGAGTCGTCTGTTTCTCGTTTCGTTTCTTACCTGTTCGGTATCCAGTGTCGTTGAGATAAACGGCAAAGGAGCGCGGCTCATGCTGAGCTTGCCAGGAAGGTGAGGAACAGTTCTCGTTGTTGGTGTACGTGTTGTGGTTGTGGACATACTTCCCAGTAAGCATGGAAGAGCGTGATGGACAGCACATGGGCGTAGTTACAAACGCATTTGTAAATGAGGTTCCACCGTCCTCCATGATCTTGCGAGTTTTGTTCATCACCTGCAATGAGCCTGACACACCAAGCAAGACAAATGCATGTTCAGTAAATTACGTTTAAGAATATCAAACCTCAACATGTCTTAATATACAATATGCTGTCAAAAGTAGCCCTAATAGTGTTTGATGGGGAGAAGGATCCATGTAGTTCTGTGGCAATGCCACGACTGGCTGTGGTTCCAGGACTAAGGCCCTTAGCCTCTCAGATGTCTGAGGGAAGCCATTAAATATTAAAAGAGGAAATAAGACAAACCTATGATGACAATCTGAGATTGAGACCTATAGGATGTTATGCTCTCAGAGGAAGGAACCTGATCCAGTGACAACAGTTAGGCTTACCAAATGGTACAGATACCAAGAGAGACTTGGGAGGCAGATCAAGAAGACTTACAAGCAAGCAAGCTAATGTTCCCGGGACTGAAGTCCGAGAAGGTTCAAGGCTTCTCTTTCGAAGGCTGAGTTAATGATGAACAACTTAAACTTAAAAAGATCTCTTACAAAAGACGAGTGACAATCCTGCTGAAAAACCCTGCATAGTCTGTCACCAGCACATGTTTTGAATGCTGATGTTTCCACAAGGTGTTTTAACTAGTTTAACCAGCAAGATTGCCTTGGTTTAACTAAAACAAAAAATAAACACTGAACCAGCTAATCAAGGTCTTTAGGGTTGCCAGGTAGATGTGTTGGTCACCAGGTACCAGTGCTACCTTAAACCAGCATGGTCCTTCCAGATGGTCTTTCCAGTAGAGTACTGCAAGTGATTTTTGTACTTCGTATTTTTGTCTTGTTTTCCAGAACAGATATGTAAACATTCTGAATTCAAAATGGATTTTCTTGAGAAGCAAAATGAAGAAAAGTTCTTGTTTTCTGAAAAATTCAACATAAAATAAGTGAATTCATGCCTAAAACAAGAAAGAAATATCTGCCAATGGGGTAAGAAAAATACACATAATCCAAATGGAAAATAACTTTTCTTACCCCAGTGGATGATAATTTTCTTTTTTTATAGAAAAACTTACACCATTTTGCATCATTTTGCTTCTTCAATTTGCTTAAAAAAATAAATTCATCTGGATTTAAGAAGGCTTAGTATGAACAGCAATTATTTAAGCCATAATGGAAATGGTCAACAAACACTAATTGAAACACCACAAAAAAAAATAAAAAATTATTAATTAATAGTGATAATAATAATAAAGATATCCATCTCACAAATATTGAAGCGAAGAGTGCAAATTCAAACACCAAATCAGTGAGGGGAATACAAAAAAAATGTTTGGTCTAGAGTTCCATTCCCATGTTTCTCCAAGTATCATTACGGCTTTTGAGGATCTCTACAGAAACTTTCCAGACTACTTGCTGATTCATACTATTGCATGCCGAGCACTGACAAAGCCTCGAGAGAGGTCTCCACCTCATTCGTCTGCAGAACAGATGGGCCATTAATGATGAATCGCATCTGGTATACTCACCCAACTCCACATCCTGGTCATCTGTCATGATGAGTATGATGTTGGGTCTGATGTTCCGTCGGTCACCTTGAACCCGCCCACGCAGGCCCTGACCACGGGTGGTGAAACCAAAGCAGACCAGTGGGGCGGCCAGGACCATCATCCAGGCCAGGCTCACTAGCTGCATCATGGGACTGCAAACCGGGGTGTGTGAACACACTTTAGAAGGTTGGAATCCTCACAACGTAATCTGCTTAGAAAAGAGTAAGGAGCTGTTAATGCTTCGAGATTTCTAAAAAGGTCAAAACAAATGTTACTATGGTTAACAGAAATTGGAGAGACTAAAAAGAACCACTTTTCCTTCCTTCGCAAGACAAACGACAACTCTAGATCCTTGTCTGCAACCTCTAATAAATCATTTGCATCTGTTTTTAAGCTCAGTGTCATCTATTTTCACATCCATCCACAAGAACAGCAACAGACCATAGAAAATCTCAAACCTGGCACTGCAAATAAACATAAAACACCTTTTAAAGGAATCAACACATGCTTTAAACTTTCAACGTATTTCCAGGATGTCCGCCCACTAAAATAAACACTTAAAAAGATACTTTAAAAAACACTAGCTCAAAAGTTCTTCACACTTACCAAACATTAAAACACTCCATAACCCTACCTGTAAAGTTCTTAGCTTAGTAGTGTCACATGTGGTGTATACACCCAATATCTTTACTTCAGTTCTGCACTCATATTTACAGACATTTTCTTGAAGTCAGAAAGGCCTGAGTGTCTCTCTCCGTGTGTGCAGACAAGTCAGCTCTTTCTCTCTAATCAGTCACACTCCTTCAGTACCATTGAAGCTTTGCCATTGGCTATTAAGGGCTGCACCGTCCCACACCCAGCCAATCGCGTTTAATGGCCAGGTTGTCAGTCACAAGGCCCAAAGCTTGTGACCCCTAGCGGACACCCAGTGGGAATTACGAAGCGGAGCGTTCCGCTACATTAACCCTTGTGCTGCGGTCGCCACTCGCAGATTTACAAACTGACCCCTTTACACAGCATGGCATTCACTCTACACCAGCAAAGATGACTCAGTGTAATCTTTCATATTCCATAGACATGTTTCATTTCCCAAAACCCATGTCCTGGCTTCAAGCCTTGTAGGTTTTGTGCTAATGCATGAGGTAAATACATTTTCACATTTTAATTTTCCTGATGATTGGCGCATGAATAAAAGTGGGTTTGATTGAAATACCCATCCAATTTCTCTGCGAGTTTATTGTATAAACCTTATGGAGGACCATATTGCTTGTGGCCCCATGCTGATCTTTGTCTCCGATCAATTTATGCACCTGATCCTCGTCGTATGCCATTCATTTGGCTTTATAATTTTGCTTGCCAATGTAAATTACCCGAGTTCAATAGTCATTTTATACTTGTGACAAAAAGACCAGTGAGAGTAAAGAAATAAATGAGTAAATTAGAGTCAGCAGTCAGCACTTGTTTTACAGTATCAACTTGAGGCCAATGTGTCCACATATTCCAACTAACAATACTCCATTTGACTGAAGGGAAATCCCTTCCGAATTAGTGACATAAAGCAAAATCATATTATAAGAGAGCAAGAATGTAACCATGTCTTGGACATTGGCAGGGACAAAAAAAAATGGGTGTGGTCGCAAATGTAACGGAAATTAAAATTAATTAATAATTAAAATATTTAAAGTAATTTCAAGGAATAAAAAAAAAGTAGTAAAAGAACCACAATTTATTTAAAACTATCTGCAAATAATGATTTCCTTTTAAAATGTGCACACATTCACTCTCAACAATTCCAGTATGTTGAAAATGGCTCTGTTAATGTTTATGGTCTTCTCATTCAATTACAAATTACTTTACATGAAACATGTACAGTAAAGGATAAAGGTTTACATTTATCATCCAGGCCAGGCTTGTTAAAATTTAAATTTAGCAAAATTTGACATTCAAAAGTTTTTTATTAACTCTGATGATATTCGCAAAAAAACCCCCCAAAAAACATTCATGCTGTTATCATATCAAACTCTGAAAAAACAAAAAAAACTAAAAGCACTATAAAAAGGCAGCATAAATGTAGTCCATATGACTATTCAATATCTACCGAAACCATACGATAACTTACAATTACTTCTACCTTGTCTTCATAGTGCTTTTTTTTTGACAGATGTGATCACTATGTACTGTCACTGTATGGACTGATACCAACGTGAAAAACAATGCCATATTGATTTGGAACAACATTAAGGTGCGTAAACAATGTCAATTTTCATTTTCAGGAGGTGGACCATATGACATCTGATAAGAAGGAGCTGTCGAATGGAAAACAATGTGCTTGCCCTCCTCCATCATTGTGCAGATGATGGGCTGCCTCTCAAATGGGACTCTGAGTGCTTTTTTGGACAGAGTGGATTTCAGTCACCCTGACAGCACTGTGCAAACACTGGCACTGTTTAGACAAACCCTTGGTGCTTGGGATGGCAGGGTCCAGTCAGACCAGAATGTACACGCACACACACACAGTATGACTTCCAGATCTCATGAAAACCTCTTAATGCCCTGAAATTATATAAAGGACTCCGTCAACCATTCATTCAGACGCATGCTTCCTTTCCATCATCTGTTTTATGTCTACATGGTTGAAATTAGATTGACATTTCAGCATCAGTATTCAATTTAAAATGCTAAACGAATACTTTCATTGACTTTCTCATGTAACACTACAAGATGAACTATTGTGTGATGTGCCTCCAGCACATTTGAAACTAACATTGATAACTCCAGCCAAAAAAAGTCAATACTTTGCTATTTAGCTTAATCATGTGGTCCTCAAACAACCCTGAATTAAACTGTCTCTGCCCTCAAAGATGACACATTCACCCTCATTCCAGCACTGTAATTTTAGAATGCAGTCAACTCAAAATAGCTCTTCTATTTTCTTCCCTGGAGGGAAAAAGGGTTGTGAATTATCATTTTGTTTTAATTACCCTCATTACTGTGAAAATGTGTTCCAGTTGGTGGCACTGGCAAGAACATAAACCACTACTTTGCTTTTCTCTGATGCACGGGTCCTCCACTGACCCTATGCCTACGAAAAACAGACCTGCTATCCTCCATTTCCATGAATAATGGGAAACAAAGCTTCCACACTTCCATGACTCACTAACACTGAATCAGCACTGGGCTGGTATGCAAAAATGATGTGAAGTTTGTATCTGAAGCCTTCAGCGGAAAACCTTGCGACTTTCTCTGGCTTAGTCAAACTGTTATTTGGATAATGTGCTTGTAATGTGCAGAACAAAAAGTACTTCCAACTCACTTGATTTAAGCATTATGCAACTATTTAAAAGTGGTTATATTAAAGTACAGTCCGGAGACATAATACCTAGATCACCACATTGAACTAAAGTTATACTCCAAATCCTGCAATGAACAAGAGGATAGTATTGTTAGACCATGCTGTTCTGGAAAATTAAGGATGCACTTATATTAAAATTCTGGAAAATATTGTTAAGCCAATACTTATTCACAACACAACACAACACAACTCAACACAACACACAAAGCAAAGCAAAGCAAAGCAAAAAACACAACAAAACAAAAATAAATCATTTTAATTGCCAGATACTGAACATATTTGAAAGTATGGAAGACATATTCATTCCGAGATCTTTTACAGATCACATTTATGTATCATTAAAACATACTGTAAATTGTATTTATAAACAAATTCATCATAATTTTATAACACCAACTAGTAACTTATGGCTATTTCAACTTTTGGTACAGGGTCTGCACACATCTGCTGAGAGCCATGCCTTTGTAGACCTGCATTACTGAAGAACAAGAAAGCATTCTTCTGGGTCACAGATGAGCACCAGAGCAAGAATCGTCCCAGCCCTTATTGTTTTAGGGATTAGAGGAAATTACCCAGTAAATTAGCCTCTACTGTACTAATCAGGGCTAAGCTGGGGGAATCATATTTGGGACTTATTAAGAAAAAAAGGTCTCAAAGGTTCAAAGGAGCAAAACAAAAAGGCTACTATTGGACTTTTCAAGTCTGACACAGCTGCCAAAAAATAGCCCCATATGAAAGAGGTGCAATTTTCAGATTAATGGATGACAGGACCAGGGTCCTTCAATGTGATCCAAAATCTGTACTTTTATGATTTCACTATGCTTTCAGCCCCCCTCCATGTTTACTAAGGCATCCAGCCCCCCTTCCTAACAACATAGTGGTGTTTTCTACCATGTAGTGCTATCAGAGACAGCGGCTCAGAAGTTCTTGGCAAGCAAAAGCCGCCACTGCTGCCTGTGGTGAAGGCCCAGACCACATACTTTCATGCGCCTTGAACCCCCTTTGACCCACATGGTAATGTGGGGTGGTTAACCCAAACCTCAAGCACCTGGACTCTCAAAAGAGTCCCGAAATGAGTGCCGCCGAATTCATAGTCTTCACAGGTAAGGATAGATGAGTTCCTGAGGAAGAGGCCACACGATTAAGATCAGAATGTCATGACCCGGCACATTCTTTCCAACCGCACTGGGTTTTATAACATCTAGACTGCATCACGAATAGTCTGGTTTCTGTCAATCCCTCGTCCAGGAAGACGAGAATGGCAAGGCTGCATTCGTAACATGTGCGACCAGCTTCTAAAATCACTTAAAATGAAAACCCTGATCCCTGTCAGCTTGAAACAATTCCTTTTAAACCAGAGCACCATGCAAGAACTCGTCCTTCACCATGGCAAAGTTGTTTGTGCATCTTCGTTGCAAATGAGAGTCTCTCGTGAGCCAAGAACAAGTATAAATCAAACCAGATGGCACTGCTAAATAGTGAGTCAGCCATTCATAAATGCAAGGTTTCCATAGACAAAGACAGTCTCGAGGGCTAATCCCCCTTTCCATTCCATCACTATACAGACTTTGCTCGCTCCGTGTTCTCCACAGAATGTGCCTGTACAGAAGCCAAGTGACTGGAGAACAATCAGCAGTAAGAACACTTCAGAGTTTATTGGTTGTGACAGTTGCACTTTAATTATCAAAGAGTCCAAGGCAAGATTTGCTTTTACTTTAACAATGCTGTTAAAGGGATTTTTACGGGATGATACTCAAAATACCCCATTACCTGACAGATATCACTGAACTAGGTGTCCAGAAACATCACACCTGTATGAGGAGCTTGTCAATTATTTTGCACATTTGCAAGTACCT